TGAGCCAAAACGAAGGGTCGGTCGCTTAACCAACTGAGCCACCCAGGTGCCCCAGTATTGTTATGATCAGAGGCAAGGAATTTTCTTTTCTTGAAAAAAAATTTTTTTAATGTTTATTTTTGAGTGAGAGCGAGAGAGAGACTAGAGTGCGAGTGGGGGAGGGGCAGAGAGAGAGGGAGACGCAGAATCCGAAGCAGGCTCCAGGCTCTGAGGCATCAGTACAGAGCCTGATGCAGGGCTCAAACTCACGAACTGTGAGATCATGACCTGAGCCGAAGTCGGACGCTTAACCGACTGAGCCACCCGGGCACCCCCTGGAGTTTTTGTATTCTTTTGCTACAAGACAGGTGTCAGACTATCTGTATATTTAAAAAAAAAAAAAAAAAAAAAAAAAAAAGTGATTCTTATAACACCAAAACGCCAAAGAAGGACATTTTGTAAAAATCAAAACGGAACAGTCATTTTAGCGGAGGAATAATCGTGAACATAAGAGAAGATACTCTGTTGTGTCTGAGCACACTGAAGGGTCTTAACATTTTTTTTTTAATTTTTTTTTTCAACATTTATTTATTTTTGAGACAGAGAGAGACAGAGCATGAATGGGGGAGGGTCAGAGAGAGGGAGACACAGAATCCGAAACAGGCTCCAGGCTCTAAGCTGTAAGCACAGAGCCCGACACGGGGCTTGAACTCACGGACCGTGAGATCATGACCTGAGCCGAAGTCGGCCGCTTAACCGACTGAGCTACCCAGGCGCCCCGGGTCTTAACATTTTTAGGTTACAAACTTAGTGGACACAGCGACAGGTGGCAATTCCGGTTGAATATTCATTCACCTAAGAAATCCCTGTCTCTGGGGGCGCCTGGGTGGCGCAGTCGGTTAAGCGTCCGACTTCAGCCAGGTCACGATCTCGCGGTCCGTGAGTTCGAGCCCCGCATCAGGCTCTGGGCTGATGGCTCGGAGCCTGGAGCCTGTTTCCGATTCTGTGTCTCCCTCTCTCTCTGCCCCTCCCCCGTTCACGTTCTGTCTCTCTCTGTCCCAAAAATAAATAAACGTTGAAAAAAAAAATTAAAAAAAAAAAAAAAAAAAAAAGAAATCCCTGTCTCTAGACTCAGATGTATCCTAGGTGTGCGGTGTTACGAAAACGAACTAAACCTACCGAAAATTTAGAGGTAAGAGGTGGTAGTCTCAATTCTGGAAGGTGAATGTCTAAAAACTAAATTTAGTGGTATGACCAAAGATCTAAAGCAAGTCCCAAGGGGGTGAAATGAAAATGCGTTAAACATAAATAGATATGTCATCATTTTGATCTAAAGCACAGGGAAATGTTGGAAAGCTAAAGCTTGCAGAGCATCATCAGATAGCCAGGGTCTTTAAAAAGGAAGAGAGAGAGAAAATATGACGATCAGGAGGAGCTTAAAAGCAGGCACCCAATGCGCGGACATCTGCCCATATTGTCTTTATGGGGCAGTCAAGAAGGCAAACGTTTAAAAATGTTAAAGGGTAGAGGTGGTCCTTCCACTCTTGTTTTTCCAGTTTTAGAGCATTCTTTTTTACTTCTATACTTTGATCTCATGGTTCATGTGAAATTTCTATTTCTTGTTCTGGAATGCCATCCTGCCCATTTCTTTGGCATTCCAGAACAGATTCTTGCTGGTGGGGTTTCTGCCATTTACCATGGAGGACTATAAACACACACAGAATACCAAGAAATAGAAATTTCGATCCCCGAACGACACAGTTGAGGGATACCACGAATGTATTATTGAAAGCTCTCAGGTGCAACTGTCCATTTCAAATGGCCCACATACTTGTTTTCTAATTAGTGTGGAATTGTGCCTTTGGATTTTAAAACTATTTATTTATTTACTTACCTTGAGAGAGAGAAGCAGAGCAAGCGAGCAAGCAGGAGAGGGGCAGAGGGGGAGGGAGACAGAGAATCCCAAGCAGGCTTCGCGCTGTCAGTGCAGAGCCCGACACGGGGGCTCGAACACAGGAACCATGAGATCGCGACCTCAGCCGAAACCAAGAGTCGGAGGCTCAACCGACTGAGCCACCCAGGCGCCGCGTGGCTTTGGATTTCTTGTTATTGAAAAGTTTCCTGTTGAGTGTTAGGCCTGCCTTCTCTTTCCAACCCACGAATGGTCAAGGTTTTTCTTTGTTACCTCAAAGAGCTTCTCTGGCCTCTTGGGCATGCCCTGTGGAGGAGACGTGGGAGCACAGGTAAGGAAATGTTGGAGTCTGGGAGGGTGTGGGGGCAGCTAATGCAGGGGTGGTGCCCCCCCCCCAGGAGGGGGGCGTTGGTGCAGCAGGCAAGTGGGCCCTGTTCAGAAAATTGCTTTTGGAGAATTAAGAGAGGCCGTTCTTTTGGAAGAGCGACTCCATCTTGTCGCTCTCCTTTTTCTGGCGGCCGGCAGCAATTCTCCCAGTTTCTATCCCGTTTCGTTGTTGTTTTCAGTTGGTGTGTGTGCTCTGAGAGAGAGCGAGAGCACTCGTGCGCCCACGTGGGAGTTGGGGAGGTTGCGGAGAGAGAGAATCCCAGGCACCCTCCACGTGGTCAGCGCGGAGCCCGATGCGGGCCTGGAACTCACAAACCTCGAGATCCTGACCTGAGCTGACATCAAGAGGTGGATGCTTAACCGATTGAGCCACCCAGGCGCCCCCCACCCCCAACCTGTTTTGCCTAGAACACTCCCTCCTCTCCTTCACTTACGTAATCTGTGGCTAGTGTTCAGGGAGATGTGGTTGAGCGCAAACCATGGAAAGGGCTGGTATCTCCTTAGAGCTTGGAACCCCGGGTTTCGAGATCTTTTTCTGCCATTTGTTAGGGTGTGACCCTCGGGCACGTCACTCGGCCGCGCGGAACCTTGACTTTCTTATCCATACGCTGGATTCTTCTGTCTCGTGCATTATCAGCCTCGTGGGACCAGTGAAGATTAAATGAGAAAATGTATATGAAGGGATATGCTAGGGCCGTGATGTTGATTCTGATTATTACTATTTAAAAGCTCTGTAGGCGGGCTGGTTCTTTCCACCTAGAGAAATAGAGCATTCCTATTCGAAGTCTTAACCGAACAGAAATCAGCATAACCTGCTTATTTGAATTTTTATAATGAAGTCCAAATGCAAGATAGATGGAATTTCTGAAGAAGCTCCTGGCCACTGAATAAATTTTATATGTCTTAAAAACTGTCACAATATAAGTATTTTTAAAGCGATATATGATGGCTTCTGAAAATACCTGAAATGCCCATGCTTTTATAGATGTTTCAGTATGCAATTTGTTCTCACTGTCTGATCTTGAATGATCAAATAATTTGCATACTGTTTTCAGTGGCATGAATTAAAGGCTAATTGAAGTATAATTTTTTTTGCAGTAAAATTATATCATCTTTTATGTAGTACATTTAAAGATATTCTAGGCCAGTTCTAATTTTATAGTTTTATTATTTTAATTTAATGTACCAAGTAATTAAAAATTGCTACAAAGAAAAGAAGATGAAAATCATTTTAGTTAATTTCCCCTTACCAGTGTGAAAAGATGATTAGTAGAATAATGGAACAGAGCTTGACACAGTTCCTGGCACATAAAGATATTCATGAAACGTTCCATAGTGAATAGGAATGAATAATTTCCGAGTACTTCTAGACTTTGGGAAAAGGTGCCGTTCTCAGTGCTATAGAAAATACGAAGAAGCTTGCGTGACACCTTTATACTAAAATACTTCCTTCCCTACAGAGGTCACCCAAGCCGCTTTTACTTCAACCGTCAGACCCTCAGCTTGCTCTGCTCACCTCTTTCTCTCTTTATGCTCGTGGAGTAGATTCTCAGGCCAAAGTCAGTCACAGATGTTGAGAGGCCATTCTCCACGGTATCTCGCGTTTTGGTGGATCTCACGAGCAGAGACGTTGCCTGCTCTTTGTTCTGGACTCTCTTCCAGGATGTTTACATGGCAGACAGCTTTGGAAGACAAAGGTAGTCCCTCCCTCTGGAGCAAAGGGCGGGTCTGCTCGCAGCCTTGGAAGATAGAGTGGTGTCTCCTTCCAGAACATGCTTACTGCCCAGTCTAATACAGGTGGTATCTCCCTGTGATGCTTATTGTCTGTTATAAAAGATTTAGGTTCTCTAAGCTTAGGGTTTCCTCTCCTGTCATGTAACCCCCTGCGTGGGCAGGAGTTACGTGGTCCTTGTTTTGTCATCCTGTGGGAAGCGAGGCTCAGGAAGCGAACCCTTTTACCGCCAGTGGCTAACCACCATTTTGGGCATACTTGGGTACCCTGGGTCTATACTGTCAAGAGGAGGAGCGAATGGGCTAATCATAGTGTTAGAAGTAAAAGATGGGATGTGATCCAGAACCTTTGGCCCAGAGCACCGTCTACAACTACAAAGCCTCTGATAACCATCACTTTGTAGGGGTGGTTGGGAGGAGGTGAACAGAGGCTATCAAACATGGAGGGAGGAGAGCTTGGTAGAGGAAAGAAGATTCCATGAAGCTTACTGTAGAAGCTGTGAATCATGGTGTTGGCACCTACCATATTGAAGCTTACTAGTCTGCCTTCCCTAGTCTTTAAATTTTTTTTTTTTCAACGTTTATTTATTTTTGGGACAGAGAGAGACAGAGCATGAACGGGGGAGGGGCAGAGGGAGAGGGAGACACAGAATCGGAAACAGGCTCCAGGCTCTGAGCCATCAGCCCAGAGCCTGACGCGGGGCTCCAACTCACGGACCGCGAGACCGTGACCTGGCTGAAGTCGGACGCTTAACCGACTGCGCCACCCAAGCGCCCCTGCCTTCCCTAGTCTTTATGGTTTATTAAAGTGCTTCCCTGGTACCACTTAGGCAACTCTAATAGCATGCAAGGCTGGTAAGTGACTGTGGACCTCAGCCCTTTGCCCACTTCCCCATTCTGGGAAAGCATTCGGGGTCGTTACGGAGACGTGCCATGACCTCTTCCTTGTTAGCCATCCGATGAAACGGTTGTACTTTGTTCCACACCATAGGGACTTTTATCCGGCGTCACCGGATTTCTCTCCCACCTCCTGATGAAGATCAGTTTTATACTGTGTATCATTTCAATATCAACATAGACGTTGTCTTTTATGGCCGGACATTCAAGATTTATGATGCTGATACGTTCACAAAAAACTTCTTGAAGAAAATAGGAGTCATATTAAACCCCCCAGGACAGTGTCCAGAAGATCCTTACATGAAGATACAGAGAGAGGTAAGAGATTGATAACATCCGTGAGTTCTTGTCTTCAGAATGAGAATCCATAAAGGGGACTCAGTCGAGGATATCTGCGTTCCAGATGCAGATGTGAAAGCACTTTTGGGGTCATGGTCACTGGAGTTATCCTGTTCTCCTTGAGGCTGGAGGGAACTCTGGGTATTGGGCTCAGTGCAGGCAAGTCTTCTCTCACCACCCCTACCCTCGCTTCTCTCCACAGTCTCCCTTCCCGGTGGTAGGAGTCCAGTGAGCTGCCCCGTGGGGCAATTTCCAAGAGCCCATGATTGGCTTTGTGGTCACTGACAGTACAAGAGTTAGGTCCACTCTTACCCGGCTTACCTTTTCCCATCTTGGTTGCCTACCTCTGGGAACGTTTTTGCTTCTGTACTATTGATTAACTGCACCAAACCTTGGGCATACCATTTTCCTTCTTCCTCAGGACTCCCAGCTCTGCGAATGGTGGCATCAGTTGTGTTCTAGAGGAGTGGGAAGGGCCATGACCCTGATGTACCCCATTATAAAAGCATGTTTGTCTTCAAAGTCTGATCGCAGTTAGTACAGGGAGGAAAGAACCCAGTGTTCATAGTATTGTTGTCTTTCTAAAGTTGTGTTTTTTTTTTTTTTAATGATCCCTTGGCCTAAATTATTTTTTCTTCTTCTTCTTCTCCTCCTCCTCCTCCTCCTTCTTCCTCCTCCTCCTCCTCCTCCCTCTCCTCCCTCTCTTCCTTCTCCTTCTTCTTCTTCATTATTATTATTATTATTTTTAATTTTTTTTTTAATTTTTTTTTTTTTTTAAAGAAGAATCAGAACACCCAAAAGGGCAAGTGTCAGGTGGAAGGTCAGATACCTTCAACTCAAGTCTTGTGCTTCTTAACCCAGAATTTGATTACGGTCATTTTCTTTCTTTTTCTTTTTTTCTTTTTTTTTTTTTTTTGAATGTTTATTTATTTTTGGGACAGAGAGAGACAGAGCATGAACGGGGGAGGGGCAGAGAGAGAGGGAGACACAGCATCGGAAACAGGCTCCAGGCTCCGAGCCATCAGCCCAGAGCCCGACGCGGGGCTCGAACTCGCGGACCGCGAGATCGTGACCTGGCTGAAGTCGGCCGCTTAACCGACTGCGCCACCCAGGCGCCCCTCTTTTTCTTTTTTTTTAATTGAAGTAGGATTAGACAGAGTAAAGTACACTGAAATGAAGTGTACCATGGGATGAGTCTTAACAAATGCTACACCCATGTAACCCACACCCAAATCGAGACCCGGAACACGTCCCTCCTCCCAGCAAGTTCCCTCATGACGTTTTCCAGTCAGCCACTCTTCCCACCCAGGAACGGATAACCGCACTTCCCCTTTCTGTCCCCGTAGATGCGTTTAATCTCGTTTCTCTTGTTTCTCAAATTTGTAATCCATTTCCCTGCCGAAAGATAGCGTGGAATTTAGAATAAAATTCGCCTTTGGCTCTGCTCTAGTCTCTTGCTAAAAGCCGCGCGCGCGCGAGCGCGAGCGCGAGCGCGTAGGATCAGTCATCTGTTCCCGCCCCCTAGCCCCGGCAGAATTATTCTTTAAGGTTCCTGTAGGCACGCAGCCCTCCTGAGATATGCATACTGTTGATCCTGGAATATTTAAGGAGAAGTCCTCGTGGCCTTATACCTGTGTTTGTTGGTATACAAGCAGATTTAAAGTTTGGGTTTATTTTTATTTTTTTCCAAACACCCTGGGCGCAAGAGCCTAGAACTAGATGAAGCCTTTACAACGAGGAGAACCTGAAAGGACCGGATCCACATGAGTTCCCACCCTTTGCATATGGCTGCGCTCCTTCACGAACAGTCGGTATTATATGATAGTGCTTAGGAATGATGATGCGTTGCATTAAATGCAGAGAGCACTGTGCCCCTCCATAGGTTTATGAAGAAAAAAAAAAAATCTTCTGTGCCGGGAATCGAGAATAAATACCAAGAACAGCCAAGAAGGGTTTTAAAGAATTTCCTTAGGTCGGGGAAAATGATTTTAGCATTTATTCCCTCAGGGAGAAAGCTCTTCCATAAATATAGAAATCTGTGGAAAATTAGGAGTTTAATAAGAGGCTTTTATGTTGACTTTAATGCGTTTACTTCTCCAGTTGTTGGCTGCCTTCAGATACGAAGTTAAAATTAAGCAATTTAACTTAAGCCGGAAAGAGCCCTGATGGTATATAATCAATAATGCGTTTCTTAAAGGCCTTATGAAGCCAAAGAAACCACTTTTCAATTGATGAAAGTAGAGGTCCCATGGTTTTGGGTAAAGATCCAGGGCAAAGAAGAAGGCTAGGAGCCTCTGGAAGGCCATCACGTCTCCCCCAATCCTGCTGTAAGTCTGCACATAAACTGCCCTGGACGGAGAGCACGTTTTGAGAAATTACAAATGTGATTACATAACCCGATATGGGACTGCCTCTCTCCTGCCAGTGAGCACTTCCTTTATAACATTCCTGTTTGGCTGCATCAGGTAGAATGGGGGAAGTTTTGCTCCGAGACAGGGCTGAGGACCTACAAGTCTAGAAAAGTCACACCAAGAAGACTGCGGCGGTTCTCTATTGGCTCTGCTCCTGTTTCCATAGCCTTCCAGAGCCTTGATATCTAAAGCTTTGGAGCAAAATAAAACTATGACTTGTTTCTTCCCTTGACTTTTACAAAAATCTTTGGATGCATTAGAAGGATCTACAGGTACAGATTCTCAGTGAAAAGGCCCGACCAGTGTCTTTTGGGGGTTGAGACATAATTACCATAGGCTCAGATGTATATAAATCTTAGGCGTACCGATCAACAGTTTTGAAAAACGTATACGACTTAGTAAGTGACTCAGAAATCAAGACACGGAATATTTCCATCGCCCCCAGAAAGTTCCCTTCTCCCCCTTTCTGGTCATTCCCTTACCCAGAGGCAATTACTCTTCTAACTTCTGTCACCACACGTTCGTTTTGTGTTTTCTTAAAAATTTGAAGTCTTTGTGGGGCACCTGGGTAGCCCAGTCGGCTTGGCGTCTGACTCTTGATTTCGGCTCAGGTCATGATCTCATGGTCTGTGAGTTCGAGCTTCATGTTGGGCTCTGTGCTCACAGCGTGGAGCCTGCTTGGGTTTCTCTGTCTCCCTCTCTGCTCCTCCTCCCTTACTCTCTCTCAAAAATAAACATTAAAAAAAAAAAAGAATTTTAACTCTTTGAGAAAAACCAGTTTTCAAAAACAGTATAAAACGATAGTGTATTAAAATACTGTTTAATATTAAAAGCTTCTTACTACTTGATTGTATTTTTTTTATGTTTACTTATTTTTGAGAGAGAGCGAGACAGAGTGTGAGTAGGGGGAAGGGCAGAGAGAGAGGGAGACACAGAATCCGAAGCAGGCTCCAGGCTCTGAGCTGTCAGCACAGAGCCCGACGCGGTGCTCGAACTCACGGACCACAAGATCATGACCTGAGCCGAAGTCGGCCGCCGAACCCACTGAGCCACCCAGGCGCCCCTGGATTGTATTTTTAAGGCAAAAACTAGCTGTCGGTGTATATACACGTGTGTCGTTAAGTCCTTTGAAATTTTTAAAAAGATCCCAGAATAGTCTATGGGAAAGATCTCTTCATGTGCTTTGATTGCGTGTATCCCAGAAGTGATTATGCAAAACCACTCTTACTGACCTTTTTTCCCCACTTTTCAGAAGCTAGACCGCATGGAGCCCTTACGTCCCTATGAGCCCTATGACACCCGGAAACAGTTCCTTGAGTGTGATAGGAAGGTTTTACGTTTTTTCTGCCTGTGGGACGACTCAGCCTCGATGTTCGGGGACCGTCGAGAACTCATTCTGTATTACTTTCTGTGCGACGATACCATCGAAATCAAAGAAGTGGTGCCACCCTCCTCAGGCCGGGATGCCACATCGTTGTTCCTCCAGAGGAGAAAGCTACCCAAGGTGAGCCGCAGACACGGAACCACTTTCCGAGTTTTTCTTGCGGGCCAAAAGACTCACCATTCACTGTCTGGAAGGTTGTGGGTTATGACTATGCAATGACCACAGGTACCAAGTGTTAGTACGGGTATTTGGAAAACTTTCATTTTGTGCTCTCTGTGTTAAAATACATGGGTGAGGGGCGCCTGGGTGGCTCAGTCGGTTAAGTGTCTGACTCTTGGTTTTGCCTCGGGTTGTGATCTCACGGTTCACGAGTTCGAGCCCCGCATCGGACTGTGTGCTGACAGCTCAGAGCCCGGAGCCTGCTTTGGATTCTGTGACTCTCTCTCTCTCTCTCTCTCAAAATAAATAAGTAAAAACTTAAAAAAATACATACATCTATGAAAGTAATATAGAGCATATAACAAATTGAAGTTGGAATTTTGTGGGTTGAATTCAGGCAAGTAAACAGAAAAAGAAGTCAAATGAGAGAGGAAGTACATATTCAGCATTGAGTTCGTAATCAGTTTTCGGAAAGTAAGTGACTCTCTAGTTAGAAGAATTGCTCATGCCCTTGAATGGGGCATTGGCCTCTGGCCTCTGTAGCCTACTGAGGAATTGCACGGTTTTGGTCTAAGCTCTGAGTGTGCAAACACACACACGTGCACACACACCCCCCCCCCCACGACAAGCATATGCCCAGGAATGATTCTTAGGAAAGTAGCCACCAGTCACCAACTAGCCACTGGCTAACATCAACGACAGCTTTTGCATTTTAGTTACTATTAAAAGAGAGTTGTTGGACTGATTTCTACACATTTATGGCCATTTGAGAGCTAAGTAACTTGGGGGCAGAAGAAACAACAGAGAGACAGAGGACCTGGGTTAGAATTGTGGCTCTGCCCCTTAAAAGCTGTGTGACCTTCGGCGAGTCACTTTACCTCTCTGAGTGTATTTTTCTATCTCTGAAACGCTGTTCACAAGGCCTCCCTTTGAAAGTAACTGTAAAAGCTGAATGGGATGGGGGCACCTGGGTGGCTCAGTCAGTTAAGCCTCCGACTTTGGCTCAGGTAGCCTGGGAAGCCTGTTTTTAGAATGGCTTTGACCAGTAGACCAATTATAAAAAATAATAATGACGTACTGGACATTTGCGGTATGTCTTGACATTCGTTGCTTCCTTTATTCATTCATTCAGCAAATATTTATTGAGTGTCAACTGTGTGCCAGCTCTGGGGGTTCCAGTGAGAAAGAAATGGATTAAGTCCTGCTTCATGGAACTTCCATTCTCCTGGTGGAGAGATAAAAAGCAGTAAGCAGTCCCTCAACACTCAAGCATCCTTTGAGAGAGCAAGGAATCAGTACTATTAACTGCAGTTTGACGACAAAACTGAAGTTCTCGGGGTGGTGGAGGTGGGGGGGGGTGCCCGGGTGGCTCAGTCAGTTAAGCTTCCGACTTCGGCTCAGGTCACGATCTCACGGTTCGTGAGTTCGAGCCCCGCGTCGGGCTCTGCGCTGACAGCTCGGAGCCTAGAGCCTGCTTCGGATCATGTGTCTCCCTCTCTCTCTGCCCCTCCCCCCCCCCCCCGTGCGCTGTCTCTGTCTCTCAAAAATAAAAATAAACATTTTTTAAAAAAAACCCCAAACAACAACCGAAGTTCCCAGAAGGTAAATACCTGGCTCCAAGTCCTGTAGCTAGTAAGTGGCAAAGAGAAAATGCTCCAAAGGTACTGTTTCTCTACGTTGCTTGGCTGACTCACCCCCCCCTCCCCACGTCATAAATTCACACATTTGAACTTGTGTTTTATGTCACACCTATCAGGGATGATTCAGATTCCTCCTCTGTATGTGATAAACGGGTCACTTTCCATTCATTGAAGTTGGTTAAGACCTTTCCTGCAGCTCACGCGACCACTGGGACCACGTCTGGTGCGTGGCGTGGAGCAGTACCCTGGCTTGCTCTGGGCCACGGTTTCCGGTAGAGGCCGCCTGCACTCTGGGGTTCTTGCCACCTCACCACGGGGTCCCTCTCGGCGTGCTAGTGCTTCCTGAGCTCAGGTTGGGCAGGAAGCTAAGCTGAGTGACGTGGGCAGGGCATGGTTTCTTCCTCAGGGCGTTTCTCGTAGTTTCGAGAAGAGGAAAAAAGATGGCTGCCGGTGAGGCATTCAGAGAAACCACACGGAGCGGTCTAGCCCTGTGTTTGGTGCTATGGAGGTGTGGACTGGGGACAGGCTAGGAGGACGGGAAGGGTCAGGGGAAAAGAGAGCCCTTTAGCACGGCCTTGAAGGATGGGTGTGGAAGTTGAGGGAGAGGTGGATGGAGTATGAGGGCAGAGGAGAACCGTATTTGGGGGAGGAAAACGAAGTTTCCCTCTACCCTTCTAGGCTGAGACCACCCCTCCCCTCCCCGGTAATGACAGACAGATTAACAGGAGAAAACCCAGCAAATGTTGAATAACATGTATACCTCCCGTTGTCATGAGAGAGACTTGGGGGAGGAACTTCCTGAAATGGCCCAAGCCACCACCTTAAATACCATCTCCAGCTACAGGGGGGTCAAGTGGCCAGGTGGGAGGGAAGCCGGTGATAGGGGGTCACCAAGGAAAGCACAGTGAACAAAAGTGCGCTGGTTAATGCAGATTTAAGTCGTCTTCCCAGCTGGTCAGAGGTTTTAGAGATGTTCAGCCTGCCTTCTCTTCCTGGGACACAGAGGGAGACATTCTTACAAATGGAGATTTCCTTTATAGATGTAAATGCTTTCTACAAAAGGGTGGCTCAGTTGGTTAAACAAAAGGGAACCTTGTACCCAGCTCCTCCCGAATCTGCTGTTTTCTTCAGAATAACCAGCTCAAAATAGTCCATACGCCCGAGAGGCGTGTTTGGGGCGGTGTGTTTTGGTCCCCTTCTCATACACTGCGTATTTCCGGCTTGGGCCCCTCACCACGACCATCTTTTGTGCTCAGTAAGCCACCTACCGTACCTCGTTTGGATTTTCTCTTCCAATATGGCCCACCTGGAGTCTATCAGCCAGGTCAGATAACGGATCGAGCAGTTCTTAACCTGTATCGTGGCTTGACAGGGAGACCAGCGGATGGCTACCTGTTGGATAAATACAAGGTGAGGGACCTCACGTTTCATTGCTGTTTCCGGTGTGACCTTCCTGGAACCTGAGATACGGGGTGCGTCACAGATTCGCTTGTGAGATTGATTGTGAACGCGGTTAATGAATATATAAACGTGTGCGTTGCACCTCTGTCTGTCAATCCTAAACAGGCTCAAGCGCACATGTGAATAAATACACACGTTGCGTCGCTATTTGCAAGTACTGCATTACCAAAAGACTTTCCAGATGTTAACATTGACTGGCTGTCTTGGTTATAAATGATACAAATGAGGGTTTGTTTTTTTTTTTTTCCTTTTTTACAATTTTTTTTTTTCTTTTGCCTAAGTCTTCAGAGGGTCTGTGGCGCCAACGCCTTGTTCCTTTGTGTTTATTAGCTCGGGAAAGTAGACCAGGAGTTTTACAAAGACAGTGACCTGTTCATAGGAGCCACCATCAACGTGTGGGGAAGAAAAGTGCTTCTTTGCGACTGTGATAACTTTACGAAGACCTATTACAAGACTAAATATGGAATTGGTAAGTAACACGTATGTCACTTAGAAAATAATACTTCGGGGTGCCTGGTGGTTCAGTCAGTTGAGCGTCCGTCTCTTGATTTGGGCTCAGATGATGATCCCACGGGCGTGGGATGGAGCCCTGCGTTGGGCTCTGTGCTGATCGTGGAACCTGCTTAAGATTCTCCCTCCGCCCCCCTCCCTGACCTGTGCTGTCTCTTTCTCTCTTCTCAAATAAAAAATCAAGGGGCGCTCGGGTGGCTCAGTCGGTTAAGCGTCCGACTTCGGCTCCGGTGATGATCTCGCAGTTTGTGGGTTCAAGCCCCGCGTCGGGCTCTGTGCTGACGGCTCGGAGCCCGGAGCCTGCTTCGGATTCTGTGTCTCCCTCTCTCTCTGCCCCTCCCCTGCTGGTGCTCTGTCTCTCTCTGTTTCTCAAGAACAAATAAATGTAAAAAAAATCAAGAAAATAAGAAAAAATAACGTTTAAAAATTTAGAATCTGTGTTCTGTAGTTTAGGATTTTGCTTTTGAGTTGCAAATGCTAAGCTCAGAATAGCTACCATGTATTCATTGAGCATTTGCTGGTAGGCGTTTGTTGTGTTACTCCTAACAACGATTCGAGACTCATTGTCCCCATTTTAGAGGTGAAGAAGCCGAGGCTGACTTGTCGAAGGCTATGCAGTAAGTGAAGGGTGAGCCGAGCTCTGAACTTGTCTACCTGATGCCAGAGGCTTCCGTTTTCTTTTACAGCCGGCCCTCTGCCTGACTGCAGCTTGGGCTCCGTGTTCTCCGGTCGAGCAACTGAAATGGAAATCTGAATGCTTTTCTTTTCACTGAATTCCTGCTTACTGCAACGGGTATACTGCTTATCTGAGTTCTCTGAGTCTCTCGTGCCAGTTTGTTCTACCTTTCCTGGTGAAGCCCAGCCATGTTTCCAGCTTTTCTCTCTCCTTAGACATCCGTTCTCTTCAGATGAGTTCAGTTCAGAATGAGAAGAAGTGGTTTATTAAGAACTTACTGGGGGGCGGGGTGCCCCTGGGTGGCTCAGTCGGTTAACCGCCTGACTCTTTATTTCAGCTCAGGTCATGATCTCACAGTTTGTGAGTTCCAGCCCCGCATCAGGCTCCATGCTGACAGCGCAGAACCTGCTTGGGATTCTCTCTCTCCCTCTCTCTCAAAAGAAAGAAATAAGCTTAAAAAAAAAAAAAAAAAAAAAAAAAGAACCTAACAGGTACAGGTTGTTGTAGTAGGACTTAGGAGCTATGGAGTTAAAGGGTTTCTTAGGCTGGAAGGAGCGCAGAAACCTACTGCATGTTCCGTGGCGTTATGAGAATCGTGGAAGCGGGCAGAGGATCTGACATGAAACCGGAACAACAAAGCCCTCATTTGTGAAACCTGCCAGCCAGCCCTGCCCCCTTCCTGGGCCCTGCTCCAGGTACCTGTCCCTGAGTGGAAGTGATGGTGGGGAGGAGGGTTGCCGACCTCCCAGGTTGGGGTTTGGAGCTGGGGGGCGGGGTGGTAGTGCTTCCTCCCGTATTCTTGTCTGAGACAAGGCACTTTGTTACTAGAATGAGCACCTCACATGTCTTGGTGTTCCCATTGTGTAGCATTCCTGGCCTCCTGGGCATCTTCCTGTCATGGGAGAAGGCACACAGCATACACAAAGGGTTGGCACAAAAAACACTTTGGATTTCACTCTTCCGTTCATTAAGGGAATTTGTTCCACGGCATTTGCTTGCCAGATTAGTCACAATGCACGGGCCTTAGGGGGCCACATCGGTAGTCTCTTCTGTTACTGTCTAAAAGTCGTGCTCTCTCGTGGACGCAGTTGGGCACATTAGTTTTGGGGACTGTGAACATGAGGCAGCCAGGCATGTGCATGTGGTGGCTGTTGGGGAGGAGTTGCTAGTGGTCCGCAGATCCCTGGGAAGGAGGATTTGGTTTTTAAATTTTTTTTTTTAACGTTTATTTATTTTTGAGACAGAGAGAGACAAAGCATGAACGGGGGAGGGTCAGAGAGAGGGAGACACAGAATCCGAAACAGGCTCCAGGCTCCGAGCTGTCAGCACAGAGCCCGACGTGGGGCTCGAACTCACGGACCGCGAGATCATGACCCGAGCCGAAGTCTGCCGCTCAACCGACTGAGCCACCCAGGCGCCCCCGGATTTGGTTTTTAATAAATGTCAATGCCTGTGTAGAATCAGTAAGTCTTCGGGGTAGGCTTAAAACTTGAAGAAGAAAAAAAAAAACATATATAGAAAAGACGAGTTAACTGAAGACGTTGACCTCCGTCCCACTGAAAGATGGTCTTAATGCGAAGGACTTGGCAAAGGTTTCCAAACCTCATCTGATCCCTTCAGCGCAGAGCCCCAACATTTGGTTAATGTTTGTCTGCCAGCTCGATTTCGAGACTGCAAAGGTTGCATTTGGGAAAATGAACGTGGTACTGGTGAGACATAGTATGTTGTTAGTCTCCTAACCGGTTTGCAGGGAACTTGAAGAGACAGAGTGACTTCTCTGGCGTCCTCTAAATCTAGCCGTCCTCGGCAAACAGATCAGCTCTAGATGCCCGATGGTCCATTTTGGTTGATCCCTGGCGCTTAATTTCTTTCTGCTCACTTCTCTGGGTCACTCTATACAATTATGCATTATGTTAAAAAAAAAAAAAGGGAGTCTGTGCCTTTAAAGCTAATATAACACGAGCATCGTGCATTTAAACAGAAAATTATGCAAATGCAAAATTATGATGCATTTTATAGTCACGCTGACTTTTTATATTTCTCATATGTTAAAATATCCCATTTAACAGACCCTATTATTACACAGCATTTCTTGAGTCACAACAGTGTACTTAATGTAAGTAATGACTAGAAATTATATCCACGGTGCAAGCGGGGCGGGGGTGGGTGGGTCGTGAATCCGCATTCTCTGGTAATCGTTACTTTGCCTTTTCTGACTTTTTGGTGAGGTTAAATTAGCGTACTTGATGTTACTCAGATACAGTCACATCGGACATCTCGATCGAGTTTATAATTCGCCTGCTTCTCTGAATTCAGAAGACCGCATTTGACGCATTATGTTCTCGTATCCTTGAAGTTCAAACTAGAACAGAGTCCCGTCAGTAAGTGTGGTCGCACTTCCTCCCTTGTCAGTAATTGTGGCCAG